GTTGCTGGCAATGAAGCGGCAGATAAGCTAGCACGAGATGGCAGCGCTGAAGCGTTTGTGGGACCGGAACCAGCAGTTGGTGTATCATTTGCGATGGCCAAATATAGGATTGGACTGTGGGCTGAAGAGAGACTTCGCCTACTGTGGACCAGTTCTCCTGGAATGAGACATGCTAAGGTGTTTATTAACATCGCCACTGTCAAACCCGGGAATATTTTAGGACTTGCCCGTAGTAGCATAAAAGTTCTAATGGGTGTTTTTACTGGGCACTGCCGATTAAAAGCACACCTCAACTTGTTGGGTTTAGCCGACGATGTTGAATGCCGACTATGTGCGGAGGAAGCAGAGACGGTTGAGCATGTTTTATGCCACTGCCCTGCCGTTAACCGTATCAGATTCTCGATTTTTGGGTCGCAGTTTATCTCCTCAAAAGATCTGAATGACCTTGCACCAAGCAAGGTATTAATGTTCGTTAAGAGCATTGGACTGCACGGTGAAATTTGATAATGATATCTATCGGGGTACAGTAGATCCTTAGGGTCGCGGTGCAAGGTTGGTTGGTCCTCCTACCCGATATGTATTCTATGTAATGTAATGTAATGTAATGTAATATCAACTTATGAAACTAAATCTTTGAATATCTCGAAATTGGTCCATTTTCGGACCTATGTTTATTAGGCTTTTTTTGTTTATTTTTGATCATAGAATACGCTGATGCAGTTTTGTACAATCGTTGCTCCCTGTAGATATGTTTGTTTAATAGCCTAATAGTAAAACTTAGACAAGAATATTATATCTATTCAACATTGTTGTCATAGCGATGCCCAACCGTCAAAACTGCATTCGAAGCTATTTTGGAAATGATGATATTTCTTCGGCGACAACGTTGACCTGCAGATTTTTCAGGAGATGAGTTGTTATAAGTGGAATAATTCTAAACAACTGCGTTTGTTAATAATACAGTGAATTTCACTTAAGATGTAATATACAAAAATATATTTCCATAGTTGCATATTTTTATTGAACTAAAAACATTCAATTTTGCGTCAACAATCTGAAGTTTTGAATAAAAATAAAACATTTTGCGCGTAATGATGATTTTAATTCATCCGACCGATTTCAAGGTCTTAATACAAATTGAAATGTTTGTTTTTGTTTTAATGATTTATTACATTTTGTTTAAAACGATTTCAATTCTTTTATAGAAACTTGGTGACAAATATATACAAACAATATGTTACAAAAATTCTATGAAATTGTTGTTGAAGTTGTTATCGGCTTTATTTTGTAAGTCACGGAATTACTAAATAGGAAGAACACTTTATACAGCTATAAATTTCCACAATTAAAAGTTTGCTTTGTCCTAAAATCAACAGACCAAAACAAAGCTAATGTTTACAACACCAACAGTTTTTTTATGTGGTTCTTCTCACTAAATTATTTTAATTAATTTACGTTTATTATGCTGTTTCAAATTGTAAATAATTATAAATGTCCTTACCTAGTGACTTAGAAAATGATATAAAACATAACAACAGCGTTAATGATGTAGTTATAGACTTCATGACACCTCGCACTGGATTATCAATATTTGAATTAGTATTTATATAGTGGATAAGAATTTCAATGTTTAATTTGCGAACTGTTCGCCAGCAAAGGCTGCACATCGACTGTAGCGTACAAAAACCAGTTCTAAATGAGACAGCAGTCGCACGAAAAAAAAGATTAGTTGTTTAAGTGGTTCCAGAAGTAATTTTTGAAAAAAAAATTTTATCGCCTTAAGTCATGAATAAAACATAAAAGCCTTTAAAGGAACGGAATGTTTATTTGTTAATTATATTTTAAAATACAAATTTATTAAAATAGTCACAACATTTATAAGCACATCAGACATAAATACGCATTGTTTTTTCTTTCTTCCTACCAGTCTTTTCATTAAAAATAAATCGCGGATTCTTAAGGTTGTATGTTGCTCAAAATCCAGTCCATATACGATGATATTTTTGTGTAAACAGCTGGAACCTTTTCTGTACCACATACTTTAGTACCAAACGAAACCAAACCTGCTTGAACCCATCTAATTATACCATCATCAACCACTGAGTACATTATAGGACCTCCGCTATCGCCAGAACACGAATCTTTACCATCTCTTCCACCTGCACAAATTTGTCTATTCGATATAGTTACTTGAGTTTTAAAAACGCCTTGACAATCTGCTTGATTTACGTATGGTACGGTAACTTTCAATAAGACGGTGCTTGGTTGTCCTAAAATGATAATTTTAAATTAATAAAAACGACTTTTAGGTAAATCTCTCAACTTACGCAACTCTGTGGTTCCCCACCCAATAACAGTGAGGTTTCGGTAATCAGAATCTTTTTTCATTAAGTTTTCTTTTGATGGTAAACAAACTGGACCAATCGCGTCAGTAAATTTAATTTCTCTAGGCAATCTTATTAAAGCAATGTCATTTTGAATTCCTTGTTTTGAGTATCCCGAATGAACAATCGCATCTTTTTCGCTAACATCAAAATCTACGTGTTGTGGAGCACACTTTGTTTTATTTCGATCTACTATGCAATCGGGGTTGGTGTTAAAATCATATTCACCTAAACGGACCCCAGTTCTAAAATTATTAAAAAGAAATAAAGGAATTGTTTGAAGAGAAATTTGAATACTTACAATTTTAAAGTTCTAATACAATGAGCTGCTGTTAATACATATCTATTGTTGATTAAACTTCCACCACAATGAAACGGTATTGGTTTTCCGGTGTCATATTTTAAAGCAACCGACCAAGGAAATTCATAAATATCGGCTTTTTGACCGTTTGTAATTCTATCGAGACTGTTTGATAAACCGCATTCTGTAGGAAGTAAAATAGATTTGTCAACGTCGTCATTTTTTGTCGCTGGCCCTGGCCCTGATAATCTGATAGGATTTTTTGGACAACAAACAATGATGTTTTGAATACCAACTCCGTCGTATCTACAAGTGTATTGTCGTAAAACATCTTTCGTGGCTGCATCTAACGTTCCGGATCTTTCAAGAAAATCGGTCATTGGTTTACATTGTAAAATTGGTATACAAGATCCTTGTTCTTTCTCTGGGGTGGTACATGTCGAAGGTTCATCATAAAGCCATTCTGCAAAAAAATACAAGTTAAAAATTGATTTAAAAGTAATAACAAAGTTAAATAATATAGTAAAGTGGAATTTTCAAGAAATGATAATAATATACCAAAATTTATTCTTAATTCTGATGGACAACAAACTGATAAAACCGAATTTTTAAAGGAACAATAATACTTCTTGAAATGAATTCGGTAGGTTTCATTTAAAGGATGTTTTGATAATAAATCGACCATTGGCTGACAATCATTGATTGGTATACAATCCCCGGTGTATCCATCTGGTGTTCTACAACCTCTGTCATCAATTGCCCATTCTGCAAGGTGAATTATAAAAAATTCTATGTAAACTGATTGTTTGTTTTATGTATAACACAACGATAGCTAAAAAGCAAAGCCAAAAAAGGTTAAAAATGTTTTGATATTGAAACTTTACATATTCATGCAAAAGTTATTTCATGATTTGTGTTTTTATCGAAGATATGATTTTATTTTGCATGCCAAATACTGTATTAATCCATCTGCATCGTTTAGAAGAGATGACAAAGACTTTTTAAGTATGAAGTTAGATCCCCAGGATGGATATTTTGGTAAGTTTTGATATGGAACCTCTATTTATTTGAGTATCAGGCAAAGATGCCGTGGGTGGTCTTCGGCAGAAAGTCATTCTGGAGGGCTTACCGAAATATGTTCCAGAGCTAATTTCTACATGGAGATGTTTGAAAAAAAGTCCATGGAAACCAAAGCTAGGGTTTCGTTACGTGGATGACACGTTTGTGATCTGGCAGTATGGAAAAGAGCATCTCCAGAAGTTCCTAGACGAATAGAAGTTGAATAGAACTTGCCAAATTTTTACCTTTTTTTGGTCATTAGAAAGACAGAACTAAAAACATTTACGTTTTAGCCATCTTGAAAGACGTATGGCTAAATCCGAATGTTTCTAATTCTAGTTTTAGTGTTACTTCTTGTTTTATTTTTATTATATCCGAGAAAGTGAAATTGAAATTGATTAAAACGTGCGGTTTAAGTTTGAATTAAGATGCAATTTACTATTCAAATGTTAAAAAAAAAGTTCTTCTCGTCTCACATAAAATGTTAAGTAACAGGGGAACAACCGTGACTGGAAAATTATACAGTCATTTAAAAAACTGGCAATTTACCTCCAACCAGATAAAAACTTTCGAATGTTATTTAGCTTAAATTCGGTTCTTTTACATATAGATGAGTAAACGACCTTGAAACGTATCTAAAAATACACAAAATACGAGACGTCTTTATGTCCTACAACCTATATTATACAAAGATAATCAAATAAATATGTTCAAATTATTTAACTTTAATATTTTTTAACGTTACAAACTATTCATAAAATCTGCAAATAATAAAACAAAGACGATAAAGCACGGATATACCTAGAAGATATCCATTTTAATTTATCCAAATAATAAACAGTCGCAAAGCAGGAATGATGCAAAAATATTTAAAACACGCAAATGAAAAAAACAAGAAAATATAATAATCGTTTTATACTCACGTAATAATCTTCTGTTTGTTGTCGCGGAATCAACGTGGTTTAGAATTGCAAACAGAACGATCGGGAAAAAACTAACAACGAACATGTTGCTTGTGTCGGAAACCACTAACAACTGATCAACGAAAAGTTCAGTAGCGGTTCTTAAATTGAGCGACCATGAGCTGGTTAATTGTTAAGGACGCTGTTGAATCGCCTACGGCGGTACGTCGATGAGTTACATGGGTTTAGCAAGAATGTTATCTCTTTTTTGCTAGGCTGAGTATCCATTTGAACCAATGTTCATACCCAATCATTATATGCTTATAAATAAAAATTAGGGTGACTTTTTTGTAATTAAAAAGGAAAATTCCTTTACTTAACAATATTTTAATTATAAACGGTGTTAATTAGCATTCAAATAATGATCTTTTGTGGTTTTCTGATTGTTTATATTCCTTTTAATTTCAAGAAAATCAACTATAATCAACTTGAATAGATTTTTAATGAGTATAGATTTAATAAATTTAAAATTTTTGAGTGAATTTGAGCGATTTTAAAGAATATGCTGTTAGTGTGAACACCACTTGGTTCACGTGTTAAAACATAATAAGTAAAGAGCAACGATCTAGAATCAATAATAAAAAGACGGGGTTTACAATGAAAGCAGGATATTAAGAGGAATTCTGTTGCATTGTTTATTTGAAAACATTTTGCTGAGCAAACAGTCAACTTGTAAACGTTAATGGAGTTCAATATTTGCATTCTTTAATTTTCCATGACATTCAGCCTACGGTTAATGGTCATGGCAACGGAATTCGTGGAACAGAATGATTAAGTCTTCGGGAAATTTGAATTGGTCTCTAAAAATTTTCTACGCTTTGAAAAAAACGGGATTTCACCGAATGATTCTGACTATAAAGTTTAATTAAGTGTATCTTATCGTTATTTCCTTCAATGGTCTAATTAAATTCAAGGCCAATTAAAACGATCAAATTCATTTATAATATTGTTAATAATATAAAGAGATTTACAAAAATGTCTTGTTTTATAAGCAACACCTCTCTATTAATTAAAGTCGTTACGTATTCATTCTACGTCATAATTTTACAGTTCATGAACAACAATGACGGGTGTTATTGTAAGTAATGAAATGATAAAACTGGTGTGGATTTATTTGTAAACAACTGTTAAATTAAATTGATCGCATCTAAATTCCCACTTTGTACGGTGACGTATTAAGAAATTTTGTGCGCGTATGGATAATTTGTTACATAATCCGAAATTTCCCGTTAGTACCTAAGATAATCGTATTTTTAAATTTATCTTCATTGTTACTGTTTCCACGTTTCTAAATATAGCAATCAAGTCTTGAAAATTAATTAATTTCCAGCACAAGCTGATCTCTTGACGTAAAAGAAAATTTATGTGACGTCTAGTTAGTAGCACCCAAAGTGTGTGTTTATTTCTAAGAAATCTCTTGTAAAAGTGGTGGTATGCACATTAATTTGCACGAATCCGTTGAGATATGAAAATTATAAAAGAAGCATTCTTCGAAATAACTGTAAAAATTAAGAGGAGATTTGGTTGATTAGTTATTATATGAACAAATAAACGTTTGTGTCGATTGTGTTGTTTTCAAACCCACGAAGACGATAACCCGTTTAAGATCTAAAGATAGAAATTTAGGATTTCTTGTTAATATTATACATTTTTTTAAAGCGTTGCAGATGGTTTTGATGATTTGAAAACCGATGGATAACAGTTTCTCTCTTAAAATAACCTTGAAGTTATAAGCATTTAAATATAACGGCTTTTCAGCAGGCTTTTATTCAAGTTTCAAACTATAAAGGATTTATTTTTGATGTCCTAATCATAAAATTTTGGAAGATATATGATTGCTAATTGATCCCATGTTTCTTACACAGAAACCCAAGGAGATGGAAACAAGTCTTGTTTTCCAACCTATTGAGAAGATTATACGAGAGTCACTGCTGAACCTAAAATGGTCTATCGATACAAGAAGTGTACAAGTAATATGTACGCGGATGATATATTGATCATTGGGAGAATATGTGCACATTCCTACCCAGGGTTCAACAGGAAAATATAAACATTGACAGTCACACTGATATGTGTCACACTGCGTAAGTTTGACCTTGAGATTTTAGAAGGAGGTTCGTCAGTGGACAAATAGAAGTGAAGGTCAACATGTATTCATTGGCCATTACATGCCCTCAACCTTGAGATTCATCTCAAGAAAACGACGAGCCAAACACCTTGACTCTAAAAACATTCAAGGTCACGATTGTGTCGTGCCGCCTTCACCTTGAGATCAAGGTCAATTACAACTTAGTTAAGGTAACTTTATTTTGACCTTCACTCCTCCTCCTCCTCACTTTAGTTTGTCAGTTTGTATTCTCAGCTTACTATTTCACTAGTATGGGTGTTTAAAGTAACCAGAGTCAAAGTCACACGTCGTTCTAGGTATAGTGTTAGTTCTAGTAACAGTGCTAGTGTAAAACTGGAACTAACACTACACCTAGAATACGAAACATTCTGGTTTAGCCACATGTCTCCCAAGATGGCTAAACCCGAATGATTCTAGATATAGGTATAGCGTTAGTTCTGGTAACAGTACCAGTGTAAAACTAGAACTAACACTATACTTAGAACTAGAAACATTCGGGTTTAGCCACACGTCTCTCAAGACGGCTAAACCCGAATGATTCTAGTTCTAGGTCAAGTATTAGTTCTAGTAAGAGTGCAAAACTAGTTAGTTCTAGTTTTGCCCTAGCTTGAAGACGCACGGCTCAACCCGAAACTTTCTATTTCTAGGTCTAGTGTTAGTTTTAGTTTTAATTGTTATTCAGCGCTAGATTGTTGTATATTTTTGTTGAACTACAAATAGAACTAACACTAGACCTAGAACTAGAATGTTTCAGGTTTAGACGTACGTCTTCAGAGTCTTTAAAGTTCAAATCAAAAATTGGTCCATTATATCGAAGTATTACCGTAATTTATGGGACGACATTTCTCTTGCAAATTAGTGCACAGTTATAAAGACGGAACACTCTGTCTTTGTAAGTGAGAAGTAAGAACTATTACCAAAAAATGAAGCAATCTGTTCAATTTTACCAAATGGTCACATCAAATTACAGTAAATAGTTTGCTATATTTTATATTACATTTTTTTATTTTCTGAAAAATTCTTTAAGATCGAAATGAGTAATGTAACACATAATTTACCACACCACCAAATTTTAGCTCTTATACATCATTATATAATCCAAAATTTCCTCTTAGTGTTTAAGATAATTAGTCGTTTTTTCCCCACCTTTCTAAATATAGTACACAGGTGTATGGCCTTAATTGATTTACAATCGATTGACGCACAAGAAAAGTTATATGACACCTGATACCACTGTAGAAGAAATTAGATTTTGTGAAATAACTTCAACTTTCGAAGTGGCAATGCAAGTCGATATATTAACAGTTAAACTTATTTTTTTATGAAATAATGCACGCATTTACCTTGGGTTATTGATCTCTACTGGGTTACCCGAGGATAACCACTTTACGAAAAAAAGATGTTAAAGATTCCAGTTTTGTCTTGTTGTTTTAACTCTTTCGCTCGTAGAATAAATACCAAGCTTGTTGTTCATCGAAAGGCAATATGAAAACTTTACTCGTGGTTTTTGGTGTTTTGATACAAAGTTTTTTTTGTAAAGGGTTTGTGTTTCCCGATCAATTCTATAGTAAGTAACACAATCAGTTAAATATTTCGATTGTATCATTAATAATTAATTTTATTTTAGCTGCTCTTTTAGAAAATTTAAATGGTTTTAAGAGAAATGAAACCAAGTTTGTTAATAATTCTTTTGAAATAGATGACAATAACAATGAAATTAAACAAGACAATGAAAAAAAAATTAATAAATATGTGATGAAACTTGAAAATCGTTTTGACAAAATTGAAATTAATGTTAATAACCTTTTAACTGAAGATTGTGGAAATGTTCGACCTACATGGAGAGGAGAGGAGAGAGGAATAAGACAATCTGAACTTAATGAATTTCCGTTTTACGTTGATTTGATTTATGAAAATGATACTGAAAATAGCACCACTAATTCGATGCACTGTGGAGGAACGTTAATAAATGATCGATTTGTAGTAACAGCTGCAAGTTGTATAGAATCGAAACCAAATATGTAAGTAATTGTGATAATTTCAATTGTTTTTTAATTAAAATTTTTATTGATTTTTCTTTGTAGAATTGCTGTTCGATTAGGAGATCATGATCTCGATACCAACCCAGATTGTTATTCTGGAATCAAAAACAAGCATATATGTGCACCACCAACGGTCGACTTAAAAATAGAAAATAAAGACATCATCATTCACAATTTATATAGATCAAATTCTACAAAGCCTAGAAAATACGATATAGCTTTAATTAGATTACCTCAAAAAGTCAATTTTACAAGTTTGTATATTATCCTTTTTATTGATTTCTTATAAAACAATTAAATTTTAGGTGCTATAGAACCCGTTTGTTTACCGATAAAAGAAAGTTATCGTAAACAGGCAAATTTAACATTAATCGGATTTCCTCAAAGAAATAAGTTAAAATCAAGAACGAACACATTATCAAGTTTGACTATTCCATATGTAGTGAACGCACATTGCCAAAATTTATTGCAGACATCAATAGGAAATGATTATTTATGCGCCAATGGTCAAAATCTAGCGAACTATTGTCAAGGTTATGGAGGAAGTGGACTTTTTTATGTTATAGTGGAAGATTATCGTCTCAGATGGATTTTAGCATCTGTCGTATCTTACGATATGAATATATGTACAGAAAATTATCTTCCCAAAGTATTTACCAGGGTGGAATTTCACAACAGTTGGATTTTGGAAAATATTAAGTAATTTTTTTTTCATGATGTAATTTTAATAAAATAAGTTTTGGAACGTCTTTTTTGTTAACAATTACATCGTTTTTTAATGTTTAAACTCCAAACGATATAATGATATGTAATAATTAACATATAATTATATAACCGTTATTATCATTATAATCTAATTATTATTACCATTAATATGCGGGATTCCGGAAGTTAATTGCCTCAACTTATGTATTTAACAATTCTTTCTGGTCCTAGTACCATTATATATATATATATATATATATATATTTATATCAGAGCAAAAAAAAGGAAGGTTACTTTAAACCCTTCGGTCGATCTTGGCAAGACATTTATATAAAAAGTCGATTTTGATCAAAAATTAGATTTTCGAAAATTAATTTAATCATAACTCAAAAACTAAAAGCGATGGGGTAATATTTTTTATACATAAAACCTTAGTAATGGGCCATAAAGACTAGATCCATAAAAAGATTGAACCCAATTATTACTATTTATTATTTATAAGCTCTAAATCGATTAAACATCAAAATTGTTGATTTTCGAAAATTAACTCAATTATAACTCAAAAACTAAAAGCGATGGGGAAATACTTTTTATACATAAAACCTTAGTAATGGGCCATAAAGTCTAAATCCATAACAAGATTGAACCCAATTATTAATATTTTTTATTTATAAGCTAATCTAAAATAAGCTAATCTAAATCAGTGGTGGCCATAACGTCGATCGCCAAGAAAATCAGGAATCTGAAATATCTATATCTGGGCCTCAGAGCAAAAAAAAGGAAGGTTACTTTAAACCCTTCGGTCGATCTTAGCAAGACATTTATATAAAAAGTCGATCTTGATTAAAAATTAGTGGACACCACTGGCTTAAAGACTTTTGTGCATAAAAGATCATTGTGTATAATCATATCTGCAATTTTTAATGAAGACCTCTTTTAAGATATTGAAAGCACATATCATGGGAAATACAAATTTTCTATCAAAATAATTCAGCAAGGTTCACCCTAATAGCTTAGAAGATATATAAAGGTTGAAGTCAAATTACAATGAAAAATGGGTAAAATTAAAGTTTTTTAATTATGTATTTTATAACTCCATATTGTTTAAAATCCAATCAATATAACTTGTTAATCGGGTGTAAACTCCAGGTATTCCTACTTCTCCACAATTTTTCGGACCAAACGAAACTATCCCAGCTTGAATCCATCTTTTAGTTTCTTTAGAACCTACTGAAAACATAATTGGTCCTCCGCTATCGCCCGCACACGAATCTTTTCCATTTGTACCACCCGCACATAGTTGATTTTGTGTTATATCAGCAACATTTTTAAATATCGCCTCACAGACAGAATTTTTAACATGTGGTACAAAAACTTTTAATAAAATTTGACTTACATTATCTGCAAATTATAAATTTAACACCAACATTAAAGTCATAATTTATTTTAAAATTTTACGATATTCAGTATTTCCCCATCCGATAACAGTTAACTCTTCCGAAAAATTATCTTGGGCATAATAACCAACTGGTAAACATATCGGGGCGATGTGATCTATACAAACGGTTATTTATTAACTGATGTGGTCCATCAAACCACATTTCTTACTGTTAAATTCGATAGGATGTGGTAATCTTATCAGCGCAATGTCATTCTCCATGGTTTTTCCGGAATAACTTTCGTGAATTATCGCATCGTTTATTCCAACGGGAATTTCGAGATATTCCGGGGAGCAAATTTCTAATTCTCCGTTTCGGTCACAATCTGGATTTGAATCAAAATTATATTCTCCAAATCGCAACGCAACTCTAAAAGATTTTCGATTAATAAGTACTAAAAAATGTTTGATTAGTTACAGAGGCGAAGAAGTTTTTATACAATGAGCGGCTGTTAAAACATATCTATTACTGATTAAAGTTCCTCCACACAAAAACGGTCTTTGCTTATCTTAAAAAACAATGTTTTTATAAAAATGAACTAAAAAATTCTTCGAAGTACTCACCACTTAGATATTTTAAAGTAACTTGCCAAGGAAATTCAAAGAGGTAAGCTTCGATTCCTCGAGTTATTCGATATTCGATAAACGATAATGGGACACCGCAATCAATCGGAAGAACGCTATTTTCTATATTGGGTACATCAAATACTTCAAAAGTTGATCTTGTGGATACAATGGGACAACAAATTTGATGAGGTGGACATTGTGAGGAATTATAGGCTGCACCATTTCCATTACAATCCGGTGACGATGTACATTTACCAAGAATGTCTTCAGAAATTTGACAAAAACCATCATTGTTGTTAATAGCTAAAAAAAAATGAATTAATAAAAGTAATTTACAAATATAAATACGAACAAGAACTAAAAGTTTCGAAATTATGATACAAAGAAATTAACCCGTAAAGAAATAAAGCGAATGCTGGAAATGGTTCAAGCATTTTTAAAATTACTAAATAAGTTTTGCTCAAGTTTAAATATATGTTATATACATTGTATGTTACTTTTTTAGCACGTTTAGTGCATTACAACATATATTTGAAAAGAAAAGTTATCTTAAAGGATTTTGTTAATAAAAAAACTTGAATTGCATGCTGTGATAAAAGTGTTTATTCATCTAACAAAAAAACTACAAGTACAAAAGTGTAAAAAAGCATAAATAAATCATATACAACATTTAGAATCAAATCAATATTTTTCTATGGTTTTATGTTATCTAGAATCCAATTGATGTATTGTGTAACTTTAGTATACATAGCCGGTATTTTGTCTCTTCCGCAATATTCTGATCCAAAAGAAACAACACCAGCTTGAACCCATTTTATTTGCGCATCATCAACAGTCGTGTACATAATCGGACCACCACTATCACCTTTGCAAGAATCTTGACCATTTCTACCACCAGCGCAAAAGTGATTATCACTAATAGCAATTCTTAGACGCAATGCTTGTCGACACTGATTTATATGCATTAAAGGTAAGGTCACTTTTAATAAAATCGGACTTGGTTCGGCTAAAATCAGAAAATTATTAAATTTTTTTTTTAATCGAAATTAAATACTTACAAGTTTCGGTACGTCCCCAGCCAATTACGGTTAAATTGCCTAATTCCTTTAAAAGTGATTCCTTAATTGGTAAACACACCGGAGAAATACTTTCTGTAAATACACATTTTATATTAGTTATATTATAATAATTGATTGTTGTTGAATACTTACGGCTAAATTCAATGGGGTTTGGTAATCTTATTAAAGCGATGTCATTCTTTAAATTTATAGGCCTATATTGTTTATGGGCGATAATATCTTTTTTAGTGATGGAAATATCAATGTGTTTCGGAGCGCAAGTTGTTCGATTTCTATCAACTATGCAGTCCGGATTAGTTTCGAAGTTGTATTCACCTAATCTTACTCCAATTCTGTAATGAAATAAAAGTAAAATCTAAAAAAAAAGTCGTTATAAATAATTACATTGCGGTTCCGACGACACAATGAGCTGCAGTTAGAACGTATCTATTGTTGATAAGAGTTCCTGCACAACTAAATGGATATTTTTTATCTACAAACGAAAATAGGTTAAAAAAAATATAGGCAGAAAAATCAAAAACATTTTTGTTACCATTGTATCGTAAAGCGACTTGCCAAGGAAATTCAAACAAATCTGTTTGTTCCCCATTAGTAATTTTATGCCCAGCATAACTAACACCACACTCAGTTGGTAAAAGATCAGTATTTCTTTTTGTACTATCAACGCCGTTTTCTTCCACTGGTTTACTTGGACAACAAACCGAAATTATGCCGCTTTTATAAGAGCAGATGTATTCAGCAACGCGTATTCTACCTGCCCTCGTTGATGCTAAATTGTTCAAAGTTTCACATTGCGAAAGTGGCCTGCAATCTCCAACTCCATTATCTGGAGTTCTACATCCAACATCATCAAAAACAAATCCTCATAAAAGAAAGAAAAAGTAAAAAATTACTCTTGAAATATAATTAAAAATCGTTTACTTACTTTTTGCTCTAATACTGAACACTGGGATAATTAAAACTATAATAAAAGTAAATAGGGTGTAAAACTTAGACATGGTGGATGGTGTTGTTTGCAAAGCGTTGTGGTCAGAAATATGAGTGAAAAGCTACGAATGGGAGGATCTTTTATAGCGAGATACCTGTGGCGGTCCGTGACGATATCAGTGTGGCATTGCGTCACTACCAGCAAAGCGTTTTCCTCTGTCGATTTAATTTTAGCAACATTCATATGTTTATCTGCATGATTTTCCATGTATAATTCAAATTTAGATTTATATTATCTTTATTGTGAATCACTTTAGATTCATATAAATAATTTAAAATAAAATAAATTACTTAAACAATTTTGTTATATCTTTATTAGTACATATTTAAAATTTTCATAATCATATACAAATAAAAATTGCCACGATTTTTTAATCCAATTATAAAAAGGGAATATTACATTAGTCACTCTTTAGGAAAATTGAATGACATAAATGAACATGTTGCGACCAGACTATAATTGATACACATTTTATTGCCAAGATAAGAAGTTTAGTATGAAAAACAAATTAAAAAATTCTCGTAAGATATTGTAAAATCTCAATAAATACGGGGATGTACTTCTTCGTAGTGTGACTAATACCACTATTATAACGATCATCATGTTTTTATTGCATTTTTCATACTTTTTTAAACCAAGCTTAGTCAGAGATCTCGAATATTAATTTGTTTTGAACAAAATTTCGGTTTTCTATGATATAAATTAGTAAAATTCTATGTATTATTTGATTGTTATATATCGTTTTAAAGAAGAAAGTTGAGGCTTTAAGATGGTATAAAACTCGTTTCTGGACCTTCAAGTATAAGGTTGTTATGATTGTTGAAACTTAACACTTTTTGTTTATGGTCAAAATTGTAACATTGTCTTCAAAAATTATTCTACCACTAAATTTTCCCTATAAAGTTCTTGAGTGATGATCACTATATAGAGGGGAAGCTTTAAGTTTTGATTCAGTATAAAAATTATTTCTTAATTTTCAGAAATAAATGAGGTACGAATTTTTGAAGTTCATAAATTATTTTGATTTAATACTTACATATAATTTATTTTTGAAGAATTTTTCAAATAAATTATTTAATTGTTACATATCGTTTTAAAGAAGAAAGTTGAGGCTTTAATATGGTATAAAACTCGTTTCTGGACCTTCAAGTATAAGCTTGTTATGATTGTTAAAACTTAACACTTTTTGTTTATGGTCAAAATTGTAACATTGTCTTCAAAAATTATTCTACCACTAAATTTTCCCTATAAAGTTCTTGAGTGATGATCACTATATAGAGGGGAAGCTTTAAGTTTTGATTCAGTATAAAAATTATTTCTTAATTTTCAGAAATAAATGAGGTACGAATTTTTGAAGTTCATAAATTATTTTGATTTAATACTTACATATAATTTATTTTTGAAGAATTTTTCAAATAAATTATTTAATTGTTATATATCGCTTTAAAGAAGAAAGTTGAGGCTTTAATATGATATAAAACTTGTTTCTGGTCTTTCAAGTATTAGCTTGTTATGATTGTTGAAACTTGACACTTTTTTTGCAATATTATGATATGGTCAAAATTGTTACAATGTCTTCAAAAATTATTCTACCACAAAATTTTCCCTATAAAGTTCTTGAATGATGATCACTATTCATAGGGGAAGGTTTAAGCTTTGATTTAGTACAAAAATTATTACTTAGTTATAATAACTAAATGAGGTACGAATTTTTAAAGTTCATAAATTGTTTTGACTTAGTACTTACATATAATTTATTTTCGAAAGATTTTTCAAATAAATTATTTAATTGTTATATAGCGTTTTAAAGAAGAAAGTTGAGGCTTTAATATGGTATAAAACTCGTTTCTGGACCTTCAAGTATAAGGTTGTTATGATTGTTGAAACTTAACACTTTTTGTTTGTGGTCAAAATTGTAACATTGTCTTCAAAAATTATTCTACCACTAAATTTTCCCTATAAAGTTCTTGAGTGATGATCACTATATAGAGGGGAAGCTTTAAGTTTTGATTCAGTATAAAAATTATTTCTTAATTTTCAGAAATAAATGAGGTACGAATTTTTTAAGTTCATAAATTATTTTGATTTAATACTTACATATAATCTATTTTTGAAGAATTTTTCAAATAAATTATTAATTGTTATATATCGCTTTAAAGAAAAAAGTTGAGGCTTTAATATGGTATAAAACTTGTTTCTGGATTTTCAAGTATAAGCTTGTTATGATTGTTGAAACTTGACACTTTTTTTTGCAATATTAGGATATGGTCAGAATTGTAACATTATTTTCAAAAATTATTCTACCACTAAATTTTCCCTATAAAGTTCTTGAATGATGGTCACTATTCAGAGGGGAAGCTTTAAGCTTTCATTTAGTACAAAAATTATTACTTAATTTTAATAACTAAATGAGGTACGAATTTTTAAAGTCCATAAATTGTTTTGATTTAGTACTTACATATAATTTATTTTCGAAAGATTATTCAAATAAATTATTTAATTGTTATATAGCGTTTTAAAGAAGAAAGTTGAGGCTTTAATATGGTATAAAACTTGTTTCTGGACTTTCAAGTATAAGCTTGTTATGATTGTTTAAACTTGACATCTTTTTTGCAATATCAGATTATGATCAAAATTGTAACATTATCTTCAAAAGTTATTCTACCACTAAATTTTCCCTATAAAGTTCTTGAATAGTGCTCACTATACAGAGGGGAAGTTTTAAGCTTTGATTTAGTACAAAAATTATTTCTTAATTCTCAAAAACTAATAAGATACGAATCTTTAAAGTTCGTAAATTGTTTTGATTTAATACTTACATACAGGGTGTGTCAAATGTCTGGAATATAGCCAATAACTTCGCCATTTGTGGTTTAAAAAAAAAATGATTCAAATACAAGTTTCTTTATTAACCATGGCGCATTTTTTGGCGATATTTGCTTGTTTGTATTGTTTTTTGTTTCGTTGCTATGGCAACCAACATTGTTATTTTAAATGGGATAATACAAAATGATATTTTTCAATTATCTGCAACGGTTTTAATTTGCAACCATTTTTGATGAAACTTAGTATATGCCCATTTCAAAAGGCGCTTAATGCAGTGGTGTACTCAGATTTTTTCTAAAAAAATTCCTAATATGATTTCGTCATTTTTAGCACCTAAAAAGTGAAATAGTAGGCCTTGGCTTTTCTAAGAAAAATATGACTCTTTGTCCGAAGGTACAGTTATTTATGGTCTACAATTCAAAAGAAAAATTGTCGAGATCGGATAATAAATACAAATTTTACGAGGGTGCTATTTTACACTGTATATCGTTTTAATCTTCGAGCGCGCGAAAATTTATGACACTTTTCGTTTTTATAATATATCTCTTCATATTATGCGTTTGAAAGGATTAAACGCTAAAGTATTCGTGTAACTATGTATTCTGAACAAAAAAAAACTTTGAACTGCTGCAAAATGCAAATATAACCTGTCTCATCCAATTCACATTGGATGTAGTTTGTTAATGTTGTTAGATTTCAAAAGTGAATCCATTTCATTGATTTAATTTTATGTTTTTAACAATTATTTAATTAAATATTTTTACTCTAGCAAAATATGTATTTTATTAAAAGTAACGTATCAAAGTATTTCCTGCAAAAAGACGCCACGTGTGGCCTCTACCATAAATAAGGAAGCGATAGCTCGATAATTAAAAAAAGTTAATGCGAAGCTCTTATCATACAATTTAAAGAATTGTATATGAATATTAAAGAAAAAAATCATACTCAGTAGGGTTTGAATAAAATTATACTGAGATGATGTATATGCTTAATTTATTTTTCTATACCAGGTTTCGGGCCCTGCCCGTCATCAGTAGAAATCGTCAGAAAACTTTTACAAAAGGTAAACATACATTAATGAAAACAAATATAAAAGATTTTAATAAAAAAATCATAGCTTTAGCATGGTATAAAACTCGCTTCTGGACCGACAAATATAAGCTTTTTATGATTGATTAAACTTAACAATTTTTTTTTGTTTTTTGTAATGTCAAAATTGTACCGTTATCTTCAAAAATTATTTTACCACTAAATTTTCCCTATAAAGTTCATGAGTGATGGTCACTATTCAAATGGGAAGCTTTAAGCTTCCAATTTAACAAGTATTGCAATGTTAGATTATGATCAAAATTGTCAAACCTTAATCCAACTCAAACTTTTAGCACATTTTAAATATGTTTTGTTTAATTCATCTGGAAGAGGAAAAATTAATATGGCGTTGTTACTTTACATAACAAGGTTTTAAAAATTTTAATAAATTTCGTAACATTTATTAAGACGATTAACGACAAGATGAAAATTACATTGAAATTATAAAAAATGTAGGTATTCGTTAAGAATTAAAAATATTTTATATAACATTTCTTAAGAAATTCTTAACAAACACTAGTAGCTAACTGGTGTGCGTGAAAGAAAATTCCAATAACGCCAGAATATAATAGCTACCAATAATTAATCATCACATTTTTACGACCGCCACGCCAGACAAATTGACGCACTCCAAAGATAATCGCAACAAAGGAAACGATTGTGCAACTCCAATACACGAAAACCTAGAAACAAGAGAAAACACGCAAAGCGGCATAATAATATTTCCGACCCAGTCTGTCTGAATGGAATTAATTAATGACCGCTAATAATAGCGCGTTGTTTACGTGCGAACCACAACGGTTGATAGCGAGTCTGTTTCTATTTTTAAATATTTACCTACGTCAATTCTGTGATTAAAACCTAAATTCTTTCAGAATATCCCAGATGCACTTTTCATATTCTCTTGCAAACCGTTGACCACAAATTAAATACAGACGTCATGACACTGTTTCGAAACCTGTTTGGCTGAGAGCTTAATAAGTTTTTCATTTTTTCAGCCACCTGCCTTATGACGTATAAAGGTGTACGGCTTAGTGGGCGATGGCCGAAGGAGGAATTCCGTGGCGTAACATTACGTTGTGACGACACGGACGACGCCTTTTAGCCTTGCTTATAAAAGTAGCTTGTATTTCCCTTTACCCACACTTAGTTTACAAACAATCCATAAGAACATCAATGCCTCGTGCTGCTTTATTATCTTTGATGGGTTCTGGTTTCCTTGGTTGAAGAAGATATTTACGATAACTATCATCAAAATGATTTTTGAAGACTGTGATAATTCAAATTTTTGGTGGAAGAACTCAATTATCTTCAAAGGATACTGGAAAAAGGTATATTTCATATACAATTCTTGAAGATGAGGATATCCAATGGAAAAAATCGAAAATAGTTAAATACTTCGACAAAAATTAAATTTGGATTAAGAAGGAACGTACTAAGAAAATGGGTATTTGGACAAAACAATTCTTTGGAAATTGGTTGTTATTAACAAAGACGATATAATGGATATTATTATTTATTACTATTAATTTATTATTTATTTATGTATAAATATTTATACGTATCGGATCTTTGAACGAAACCATTTTATGGGATATTTATTTATTTAAAATGATTAAATAAAACAATTGTTTTTATAAACTTTTATTTGTCCAAATTATTATTACACTACTTCCCAGTAACTATAAATAAAAATTTTCCAAAGATATTTGTTCCTGAAAAAATAAAAATATTTGTTAGCAAAACCTTTGTATTTTCTAAGTAACAATAATTGTTGCTAACTGTATTTACTCGTTATTCAAACAATTTGTTTAATCAACTAGGAAATAATAAAAAATGTTTGAAATTTTTTAAATGAACTTAAAATATTCTTAATTTAAAGTTGTTTGAAAAAGTGTTTAACGATTCAGGTAAAATTTTACAATCATCTTCAGAAACAAGTTTGAAGTGAACATTTATTAATAAAAATGTATTAATTCTTTTTTGAATTTTTATAACAGTGCAAGTTAATTAGAACTAACTAAACTAGAACTAGAAATATTCGGCTTTAGCCGTCTTAAGAGACGCATGGCTAAACTCGATTGTTTCTAGTACTAGATCTAGTATTAGTTCTAATAGCTAGAATTAACACATACACTTTCATTAGAACTAACATTCGGGTTTCGCCGTCTTGAGAGATATATGGCTAAAGCTGAATACCGTATTTTCTCGAATCTTATCCGCGCTCGAATCTAATCCGCACCCCGATTTTAAAAATGCATAGTGGTAAAAAAATTTAGTTTGCGAATGTAATCCGCATCTTTCTTTGAGCAATTCGACAACACCAAAACGATGCGATGCTTGTTGTTAACCATAAATATATATTTTTTCCGTTGACTGACGCTGATGCACCTAAAGAAACCTTGCTTACGACGAGTTTTTATTAGACTAGACTTTAAATTTACCAAGCCAGAAAAAATTGGAAAATAAATATAATTTTAAAAATAAATAGTAATGGATG